CTCTAGCGTTTTGCATTCTGCCCACTTTTTCTGCCCACGTTGCGTCTTCATCGATGCAAAGGTTCAATCTTCTCCGCTCTCGGCTACTAGCATTTACAGACCTGGCTGAGAAAATCTTGGCTTTGCTCTTTGCAGGGCCTGAAGATGAGGACGATTCTCTGGAAGCCGTCCGAAGATTTAAGAAATCCAGACAGAGAAAGAAGCACGCCCTTCAGGTTGGCAAATTTTCTTGCAGGCTCCAGGAAGGGCTTAAAGATCTGTGAACGCCTTGGAAAGAAAGGAACGTGACCTTTCTTTCTTTGAACTCCATCCCGCCTTTCTACAGAAACAGCTAATGGAAGCAAAGCCAAATCGTTTAAAATCTGATTTATTTTAGCATCCGTTCCGTTCTAGCTGGCAAAAGAAGCCATTTGGATTCTGGAATTTCAGGGTTTTTCTCAGTTCGAGGGCTCACGAGGACTGTAAACCTGGGGTGCTTTTTGGAATGCGAGTAAGAACGCAGGGGGTGTGAAAAAAAGGATTTATTCATCTCTTGCCTATTTGCTCCTTATTTAAAAAAGGGGGGGGGATCATAGCTTTGCATATCCATCTCCTAAGCAGCCCATACCTATGTTGTGTGAAAGGCAACACTCTGGTTATCTTCTAGGTGATCCGATACGTTCGTACCTCCCAAACACATTCGAGATTGAACATCTGCTTCTGCGCTCCCAAATGCCCTCTAAATTTCAAACCTAGAAGGTCATTTCGTCTTTGGGGGTTTTTTCCCCCCGCTTTCTTTCTAGACACTCCCCAAAATTGATCTGGATAATTATTCCATTCTGCCGGTGGACGAAGGAGACGAAGACCGAGAGGCGGCAGGGGACGATGACGAAGAAGCGAACTCGGCTGGTTCAGATCTTGACCTTGACCTGGGCGAAGATTGCTCGCAAGAAGGTTTGTCTTTTGCAAACGTTTTAAAGTTGGCTGAGTTTACACAGAAGACTGGGGAGATTTTTAACCATGGTTTGCTGACCAAGCCGTATTAGCCTGGGTAACACCGCATTAAAGCCATAATAAGGGAAGGTACCATCTGATTCAGCCTCTATTTTTCCATTTTCTGGCCAGATTTTGCCTTTGTATTCCTATATGAAATAGAACGCTGGCTTGTTGAACAAGCCATGAATGTTAAGTTAGCACGCTGTTATATAACCTCATCAAATCAATTGGGTTTTTTTTTTAACAGCAGGAGACTTTTTTTAATACAGAGTATCCCCATTTTTAAAGCCACCGTTCTGTTAGGTTTATAGTGAGTAAATCTGGTAAAGAGACTAGTTCTCATGAAGCTTCCAGAAAAATAGGGGCTGTCTTTTTTGTTCTCCTGCCTCTTAGCTCTGATTTGCAAAACATATTAAAATGGATTTATTTACTGGCTATATTTTTATACTGCCATATTTCCCAAAGATTTACAGGGGTACGCAATTAAAATGAAAACACATAACGTTAATGTAAATGAGCAACCGATAAAATACAGCAGAGGTCTCGCTGCAGAAAGGACATTGTTGCATGTACGGATTGCTAATAGCTTTGCAGGCTAATTTTTTCAGCACTTAGATTTCTTTTTCCTGTTTATAATTTGGGTGCAGGTCAGAAACCGGATTCTTCCCACCCTCTTTATGTTCTTCCACTCTACTCTTTGCTGGCTCCTGAGAAGCAAGCCAAGGTAAAACGGATCGCCCCTGCGGGGATATTGGGGTTCGTTAGCAAAAGTGTCTGTTGGGGGTGGATTCTGAAGTTTGCAGAACTATTCCCCCCCAAATAAAAAAAAATTAGGAAAAACAATCTCTTAGATAAGAACACTCCCCACCCTGAAAAAAAAACATAGCTCAGGATGATTTCCAGAATACTCCCTGATTGTTTCTGGGCTCAGAAAATTGGGAATCTGACTTGGAATGGAGTATTGGCAAATAGGGCATGGCTGGCTGGAGCCACGGAGTTCCCCAACGTGGGCAAACATCACCACAGATGCTGTTTGTAGAAGGAATCGCTAGTGGGGTTTGCGCTCTCTGTTTGGTGGGATATTCTTTTTTTCATCCATTGAAAACGGCCCCTGATTTCAGGTTTTCAGGCCCCCTCCTCCTGGCACAAGGCTGTGCGTCGTGGCGACCAACGTGGCGGAGACGTCTCTGACCATCCCGGGCATCAAATACGTGGTGGACTGCGGGAAGGTCAAGAAACGCTTCTACGACAAAGTCACCGGGATCTCGTCATTCAGGGTCATGTGGACGTCCCAGGCCTCTGCCAACCAGCGGGCGGGCCGAGCTGGTCGAACAGAACCAGGCCACTGTTACAGGTCAGCTCACATGTGTTTTGTTTCCCTTTTTGCTTACACGCCAGAAAATCAGAACTGCCCCAATCTTTGGAAAAGCCATTTCAGTTCCCTAGTTCTTAGAACGAGGCTGATCAGCCCTTGGCGCCCACTGGGTGAAGGGAAGATCTTCTGATTCGGGCGGGTGGGCCCTTTGAAGGGTTTTCTTTCTCTTAGTGTGCGCGCTGTGCGTGTCTACACATCTGTGCACTATTTGTACACACGCTTGGATTTATTTTTTAAACCCATTTCTATCCCATCCCAGTCTAAACTCCTCTTGGTTCTGTTGAACACAAAAAGGCAGTTTAAAAGAATCACGTCTTAAAAATCACCCCGAAACATCCCAAATCACAACAATCAAACAACACTGTGCAAAGAGCAACAATAGTTAAAGATGGCAATATCGAATCCAAGGAAACCTCTCTGAAACGTAGCATCTGTGTCTGTATCAGTGTTTCTCAACCTTGACCACTTTAAGATGGGTGGACTTCAACTCCCAGAATTCCCCCCCCCCGCCTCCCGGGCGGG